GTCCCGAAAGGGAGAAGTTTTAATTATTTTTTTTTTCAAAAGACCCTATTTCCGGGATTTCCCTCTCTCCCTGCGCTTGGCTCGGCCCTTACTCCGGGGTGTAGCAGCCGCTTTGCAAAGCCTGGCGGAGCTGCGAGTGGTTTACTCACAAAGCCCGGGGTCGGGTTGCTGCGGGAGCTTCTGCTCCCTGGGCAAAGCCTGCGGGGGTTGTGTGAGTTTACAGGTGGTTTCTCCCAAGCCCGTGCTCCTTTGTGAGTCATTTCCCAAAGCCCCGATGGCGTTCGATGAGTTTACAGGCCGGGTTGCAAAGCCTGCTGGTGTTACATTAGTCTACCAAGTCGTTTTGAGCAAGCCCGACGGTGTTGTACAAGCTCACAGGTTGCTCTGCAAAGCCCGATGGCGTTTTTAGTTTACAAGCTGTTAATTTTTTCTCAAGCCTTGTATGAGCGGAGGTTTCCTGCTTTTACAAGGCCAAGGGGATGGATTAATTATTAATTATGGATGGAAACTTGGGTGCTGCTGCAGCAAAACTCAGCCCTGCCATGTCTCACAGAATCATTTAGATTGGAGAAGACAATTTTAAGCTCCTCAAATCCAACCATCTTAGTCCCCTCTCCCACATATTTTGGGGACCCATCCATCCCTGTGCTGAGCCAGTTCAGCTCACTCGTCCATCATGTGCTGGGCGATCCCAGGCTGAAGGACAAGGAAGCTGGGCACAGCAGCTTGCAAGCAGCAGTTTGCAACCCTCACATGGTAATATCTTTTTTGGGGTGTTTTTTTTCTTGCAGCGTGCCAGCACTATGCACCCAGCAGCCAGCAGCTTTCCCCAGGATGAAGAGCCCCTGATCGAGGAGCCCTCGGTGAACGGATACAGTCGGCGAAAGCCACGCGACCATTTCCATGGGGCCTATGTTATTTTTTTCCTCCTGGGCATCGGGTCCCTGCTGCCCTGGAATTTTTTTATCACAGCAAAACACTATTGGATGTACAAGCTGCAAAACTGCTCAGATCGAGCAGGCCCGGCAGGACAGGTGACGTCGGATCTGCGGGTGAGTGTGCTGCTTTCAGAAAAGGAAAAAAAAAAGCTGGTTTCTTTCTGAACTTGCTCTTTTCCTCCCCTCAACTTCTGCAGAACGTGAGTGAATATCATCTGGGTTTTTGCTTGCTGCAAACCAGCAGTAGAGGTACATTTGGGGAGCACAAATAGCTGCAAGAAAGGTGCTTAAAACCAGAAGGCGTAGCACTTTGTGCTCTGTCTTTTAGCTGTATTTGAAGCCCTAAGGTTTACAAAATTTGGCTGAACTGGCTCTATAAACAAGATAACCTTTCAAGGACAATTTTTACTGTGCAAGGTAAAAATCTCTTTGTGGGTTTGGGTGGGGTTCTTTTTGTCCTTCATGCTTGGTGAGCCTCTGAGCCCCATAGGGCTCTGTGCTATCCCAGACAGACTCGGCTGCAACTCCCTGTGGGCTGGGAGATAAACTGCCCTGAACTTGTGGCCTCGTGGCGAGGCATCAAACACATTTTAGGCATTTTCTGCCTCGCAGTAATGCAGCTCATAGTTTGAAGGTGGCAGCAGGGCTCTGCAGGAGCACCAGCCCTGGAGTGGATGGTTTGCAGGAGTCTCGAGCCTCCCCCTCTTGATGTTTTAGTGCTTTTCCTTCAAAATCTGGCAGGTGTGACGGGAGTATCTGCTTGGAGCGATAAACATCTGGCTTTTGGCATATGGGACGAGGAGCTTGTCATGGGGCGATTGATGAGCCAGCCTTGGGGTGGCAGGCTTGATGGGCTCTCTTTTTCTCCCCCCAAAAAAACTGCCATCTCTTGCTCCTCCTTAATCCACAGCAGGATTGTTTCCCTGTGCCTCCCTGACAAAGCAACGGGGGCTGGAGAAAGCGTCGGTGTGATGAGGCTGCGTCCTGTCTTCCTCCAGTTGCTGAACTTGTTCAGGTGGTTTGGGCACATTTTAGTTTTCTATAAACACAGAGCCTGGTATGACGCCCACGTTTTCTCTGGGACTTCTTACCCCAATTATGGCAGTTGTGGCTGTGTTAATTTTTAAGAGATGACCTCCCATGTCCCCTGCTTCCCATGTGATCCACGTGCCTCCTACATCAGCACAGTTCTAGAAAAAAGCTGATTTCAAGGTAGAGTAAGTATCACTAGGTGTCTTTTTCCTAAAAACTCTTGTGTAGCTGTATTCTTGGTCAGATCAGCCATTAGTTTTATGTAAAAGATGTTTCTCCTCTGTATGTCCAGGATGCAATGAGTTTTACTTCCTCTGGTAAAAACCAACATGGCCTTTCTGTGACGGTCCAGTGTGATTAAACATAAACCATCTCTTGACTCTGAAGAGATGCCCATGTGACTGGCAGCCTGCTCTTGGCTCCAGCTTGCTTGCTGCTGCTAATTTCATGCCCTGTGCTCCAGGTAACGCTCTGGTGCCTTCAGCCACCGCCGTGGGTCTGGATTGCTTTTCCAGCCCAGCAGGAGCCCAGCTGCTGAGTCTGGGCTGGAGCAGAATAAAAACTACTTTGCGAGTGACGCCAGTGACTAATTTGCTGCTGTGATGGTTTGTTCTTGGTTGGGATGTTTTTTTTTAAGGTGCTGAGTGCCTGGTATGCATCGTGGCAACCTTTGAAGTTGCTGTATTTAATACAAACACCTCTATCATGCGCCTTGGCTTCATGGCTGAGGGATGACACCTTCCCTTGTGGGAGGAAGATGAGCTTTGGGGATAATGATTTAATATTAGCCAAGAAAGGAGTTGGAGTCTTCCACTGCTTGTGTTTCTTCTCTGAAGCCACGTTGGCAACAGGTTGCTTGGCCTTTGTGAGCAAAGGGTGGCTGAAGGAGATAAGGCAGCCAGTCAAGGAGGGCTCAGCAGAAACTAGATGTATCTTGTATAGCCAAAAATTTCTTCTCAAAGCATGCCTGTGATGGATGGGAATACCCACATAGGGAGAACAGTTACCATCTTAGCTGGATAAACAGTTAACATAAAAAGCTTTGGGTTGTAAGGGACCTTTCAAGGTCACCTAGTCCAGCCCCCCTGCAGTGTGCAGGGACATTGCAACTAGAGCAGGTTGCTCAGAGCCCCATCCAACCTCACCTGGAATGTTTCCAGGGATTGGGGTTTGACCACCTCTCTGGGCAACCTGGGCCAGGGTCTCATGCCACCCTTATTGTGTAAAATTTCTTCCTTCTCTTCAGTCAAAATCTCCCTCTTTTAATTTAACGACCACTTCTCTGGGCAATGTGGGCCACGGTCTCACCACCCTTATTGTCTAAAATTTCTTCCTTCTTTCCAGTCAAAATCTCCCTCTTTTAATTTAAAACCATCATCCCTTGTCCTGTCACAACATGCCCTGATAAGAAGTCTGTCCCCATCTTTCTTACAGGCCCCCTTTAAGTACTGGAAGGCTGCAGTAAGGTCTCCCTGGAGCCTTCTCTTCTCCAGGCTGCCCAAGCCCAGCTCTCTCCTGCCGGCCTCCCAGCAGAGGGGTTCCACCCTTGGGTCACTGCTGGGGCTCCTCTGACCCCACTCCAGCAGGTCCCTGTCTCTGCTGTGCTGAGGACTCCAGAGCTGCCCCAGCACTGCAGGGGGGTCTCCCCAGAGCGGGGCAGAAGGGCCAGAA